TCTTTGGAATCTACCTTATGGGTACGGTGACCATAAATATGGATTCAAAAAGAAGGACAATTTTTCAAAAATATGCCTACATATATTTACGTAGTATAAAAACATCAAAAGAGTACATATGATTCACAATTCTTAATACATTTTAAGCTTTAAAAATGAATCACGTTTTCTCCATCGATATTAATCTGTTTTTACATGAATATTTATAAAAGTATAGTAAAACATATTATAATAACAAAAGCACGAAAAGTGAAAATCTTTAAAGGATTATTTTATAGGCAAATTTTGAGTCGTTTAAAACGAAAACAATACCCTTTTTGTTGTTGTTTGGTACTTTTCGCAGTTATTTATCAAAAATCGACGTCATGAATCGACGTAAACGACGAGTTACAAAGGCTGCATAGCATCTACATTTCTGATCCGATTTTCATTACATTTGGCTCAAAATTTACTGTAATGATATATCTCCTTTATCGAATTTTTAAACTAATGCAAAAAATTATCGAATAAAACTGCGTATTTGATTGAAAATCTCACTTTTTTCGACTTTGACGACAAAATGCAAATGGTCGCCTGTAGCACTAATAATTTTCATTGAAGTCGCCACAAGTTATATATTTTGTAAGAGGCACATCAATACCCTTCGATATGTTAGTCGCTTACGTTGATTGGGAGATTTTTTCATGAGATATTGAAGAAAGGCTACGAAAAGTACCAAAAAACACTTTTTTGAAGAAATCCATCCATTGTCCGATAATTTTAAAATAACGATGAAAATGCGGGACAAATGCAGGACACCTGGAAAAAATCAGTACATTTTCAGGTTTTTCAGGTTTGAAAAAACTACGCAGGACCGACCTTTGAAAAACAGTACGGTCCTGCAAAAAACAGAACGGATGGTCACCGTACTTATGGGCAGTACCGCCGCCACCGCCGATTATTTTTGAAGTTGACCACGCCGCCGCCGCAAAGCCTGTCGGCGTAAACCTCTAAGCCCCACCCACTTTTGATGAAATGCTGTATCTCAGTATCTGCTTTACCAATCCGTAAAAAACTCGGTATGAGCCTTGCTTAGGCTATATCTAACATATTTGCTAAAAATCCTTGAAATCAGGCGATAACCACGCCCACTTCCCATATAACAGTAATTTACAGAAACACGAAAACTGCGATAAATCAGTAGCTACTGAAGCTAATTCACTCTAAATCGATTCTTGGAATAACCTCATAGCATTAAATTAGCTTATTATTTTGGACAAAAACAAAGTTTTGTTTTGCCTTATAATTTTTGTGAATATTTCTTCACGTGAAATTCGCCATAGGGCCTAATACGTTGAAAATACGAAAATTCCGACATTTCAGTAATTGCTATTAGTACGAACATTAAATACAAACATACAAACATACATATTTGTAAATTAAGATACTAATTGTACGCAGTTATCTATCAAATACTGAAAGCAAAAATTGGACTACTAGAACCAAAGATATCAAAGTTCAGTAAATTTTGGTGAGTTATATGGATTTTGTTGTGGTATGAACTATGTTTTTTTTTTAAATAATGAAATTTAAATAAAACAAAACATTTTCCAAAAATTTACTGTAGGATTTCCTCTGACACTCACTGCACATAAGTCAACAGTCGGCGAAGCGATAAGGTGAGTTGGGAAATGAAAAAAACTTGCAGTCGAAGCTGAAAATACGTTCCGTTCGCGAACATTTACTTGCCACTTCCATTGCGAAAATTCAAGCAAACGAAGAAAATATTTACAATTACGTTGTACTTTTATATACACGAAAGGTATTAAAATGTGCGCTGCTCGACTACCAGACGTCTGCATGAATCCATTCAAAACGACAAATGAATCATGCATATTCAAATTGAATAAATGTGATGGGCTTTCAGCTTTACTGAATTTAAATGAATAACTGTGTTGATATAAATAACGACATGGCAGCGTTCAAACATTTTGAAAACAAATTGAGTGAATATGAATGCGTTTTTTTATGAATATGAATATGCTTGCCTTGCGTTCATTGAGCTTTACGTATGCTGTACGTATGAATACATACATTTTTGATACTTGTAATATACATAAGCCACTGGGTAAAGGCGCTGGCCCAATGAAGGCTTGCTTTGAACGCCTTGCTTACTTTAATTTGCTTTGATTTACTTCAAAAACTCTTTCGGCCAAATGGCGACTTGGAACGCTGTCAAAGCAACCAGCTGTGTAGTTGAAAAGTCAAGGTCTGTTTCCTTAAACTAAGAATAATTTTGCCATCAAATTCCAGAAAATTTAAAAAAATAAATAAATAAATACAAAACAATATTTTCAGATTTATTTTTAAATGAATGTGATTAATTTTTCCATTTCAAACAAATGATAATAATTATACATACATATATGTACATTTATTAGAAACAAAAAACTCAAAAAAAATCGATTTTTCAAGAGACAACTTACCAGTAGTTTGGCATCATAAATATCGCTTTGTGTGAAAAGTTGATAAGTCTGCATTTTATGAAGCCTCAAATTTTGACATAGAAAGTAAGAGAAATTAAGAACTAAGGGACTTGTTTTATTTTTTCTCGTTTATATTCAATGAAAGATAAATTTTATAGGTCCAAAAGAGGCCCCGAATATGCAAAAAGGCCAAAATAGTGCGAATTGTTTTAACAGAGATCGAATCCTTCTGATTTGTATGGAGTTTTGCTTTACATTAAACACGCAAAATGTTGTATTCAAAGTTCCTGTAAAATTTTTCAAATTGGACTTAGCAACTTTTCACTTTAAGCCAGCGACATGTTAAATATAAATAAGGAGACATAGATCACTTTTTAAGAAACTTCGAATTACTAATATTATACATAAATTTTTTATATTACGTAAAACAATTTTTGTACATAAAAGTCGTCAGCAGTTCGTTTGAATTGATTTAGAACAGGAACATATCTTTTTGTCAACAGCCTACGAAACGCTTTTAAATAAAACATTTGCCAATTTGAAACTTTGTGGCGCTTAAAGCAAGTGAAGCAAAGCTGCCATTTGGCCACCCTTCATACGTTTTAGTATATTCCAAATAACTTTTGACAGTTTTCAAAGCTAAGCAAGTAAAGCAAGAATGCAATTCGTTTCAATTATTTTAATGCATAAACAAAATTTAATTTACATTGTAAAGGTCCGCACTTTACAACGTTGATTTTTGGTTGAGATGCATAGCTTGGCTGATCTCTACGATCTCACATAGACTATGGAGGCCTATAGCAATAGTTTACATTTAGTGGAGATTTTCTAGTGGGACTTTGGAGGTAACATCGTCACGTGCCATGTATCAGTCCGATCTTGATCGCAGGGCATGGTGTGAGACAGTGTCAGACCATGGAATTTATGGTTTTTGCGCTGTAAGAGTGAAACATGGTCTTGGCTGTCAATAGTACAGTTTTACTATTACACTCCAACAAGTATAAAATTAAAATGGATCCCCATGGACATATGCATATTATATGTTTTCAATTAATTAAAACCTGACCATAAAAATGGCTAACAAAAAGGATATAAAAAAGGACTATGAATTATATACTCCGCTTTTCATTATTCAATCCATATATTTTTTTACCTAACTTTACATGTACGAGAGCATATGTCCATTTTTAAAAAGCCAAAAATATGTGTCTAATAATATCCCCCTTGTCAATTTTATATGTACAGTTTTAATTTGGGAATTCTTCAATTCTCAGCACTAGGCGTTCATTTGTACATACATATGTAACATCAAGCTTTATATACGAAAAAACTTGTTGGCAGAAAAAAAACTAAAACCAAAATGAGATTGAATGATTTAAAAGAAAGGCGAATTCTTTAAAAATGGTGTTACTGGAGCAGATGATTTCAGGGCGAGTAAGGCTGATTGTTAAATTGTTTGTGTTCTGCTTATCATCGTTCATATAATTTGTTAATGTAGTTTTTTTGTTTTTGTGCTGTCACTATCACATTGCATGAATTCTGCATTGATTTGAATGTTTTTCGTTCATTCGTTCACATTCTTTCATTTGAAGGTGGAAAATTTAAAACAAAATTTATATTCATAGCTTCTAAAATTCAAAACGCTGAGTGTTTTGTATGTGAAGTACAATACTCAAATCCATGATAAAAACACAGCAAGGTAGAACCGTTCTCTCAATTTGTCGGCCATGATTTTTTTTTTTGAAGTTTGCCAGCATTTTAAAGTCATATAAAATTGAAAATAAAAAATTGAAATTGTTCGAAATTGTTCAAGGCGAATTTATATAAGGTGGTGTTACTAGCTCAGCTGATTTTGTGTATGTGTTTCGCCGCACGGCTTCTGATATCAAATTGAAAACTTTTGTTCGAATTTCTACACACACTCTTACAGATTTTGACAGTTTATGCCGCCAAAGCAAAAACAAAATCCATGTAAATTTTTGTTTTTGTACTCCTGCTATCACCTTATATTAATTCGCCTTGAAATTGTTGTTGCTTGGGATTGAAAATTAAAATGTGTGTGTGAGTTTGTGAGTAAATTTAAAAATTAAAATGTTTGGAAACGTCAAGAATTTAAAAGTAACTCTCAGCCAAGGCGAATTTATATAAGGTGGTGTTACTAGATCAGCTGATTTTGTGTATGTGTTTCGCCGCACGGCTTCTGATGTCAAATTGAAAATTTTTTTTTGAATTTCTACACACACTCTTACAGATTTTGACAGTATATGCCGCCAAAGCAATAACAAAATACATGTAAATTTTTGTTTTTGTATTCATGCTATCACCTTATATTAATTCGCCTTGCGGTTCTACCTTACTATATTTTTATCATGCTCAAATCTGCTGCACTTTCTGTGGCTGGAAGTTTGAATCAACTCATGCAGAGCTCTATCGCCTACATGCGCAACCGGAAATTTATGGAAAATTTTTGTTTACTTTACATTCATACATCTGTATGTACGTATACTCTTAACCGAAATCCAAAAATATACTTACCGCTGCCATTTGTTGGCGCTGCTCAGATATCAACTTCTCACTGGAGCCTTTCAGCAGTTCGGCCAACAGTTCCTGTGACGGTACAATTGTGGAGCTTTTACCGGAATTGGAATTGCCCCTGGCGCTTCCGCTGGTAGTAGCATCGAGGCTACGATTTGCCTGGTGTACGATATGTGTACCACCCGAGGCGGTTTTTTCTCCGCTCATCGATTGACTGCGTTTGTTATGATGGCTTTTTTGAGCAGGAGCCTCCGAAGCTGCGCGTTTTACTTCACGTTGGTGAAGATGGTGATTTGGATAATGATGCCCCGCATCTTGATAATCCTTGTCAGCAGAAGTTACTGAGTTATCCAGCGTGCTTTGGTAGCGCTTCTCGTGTGGATGAATCTTCTCCAAGCTGCCGATGGCTCCGCTTTTGCTTACATTCTCTATTTGAGATGGCGTAGAGGCTGCTCTTGCATGTGCCGGTACAGGCAGAAATGTATTTGACTTGCGTACTCGCATCGAATTCGAATGGTGAGGTATATTTCGGGTACTGGTCGCCGTAATGGCGCTGGAATCATCATAAGCGATACGTGGGCGGCGCGGTTGCGAGGAACTGTGTATGAACAAAAACAAAATATGTTTCAGAATATTTAAACATAAGGATAAAACATTAACAAATTTAATTTATTTTTAGTATATAATATTCATTCCACTTACACCTCAGATTCACGGAGGTCCTCCAATATTTCCTCGAAATGCATTTTGTTGGGCTTCTTCATTTCCTTTTCCAGCATTTGACCGTAAGGCCCACGGAGTGGTCGTTTTGAATACCGCTTAAAATCGTAGTCACCAGGAACAGGACTTGGACTGGCGTGCTCGCGACAATACGATGGACCCCGATCACTTTCGTTGTCGGACACTGAGTCAGTACGTAAGAAAGGAAAACTTTGATTGTTGCGTGAAAGGTTACCCCCACTACCCATTACACCCTGAATATCTTCCTTATCCTCGGAACTTTGAAGGCTAAAACTAGCAAGGCGATCCGCCTTTGTCCATTCTGGCGGCTTATCCGATTCCGGGGTATTTATTTCAGGTGAGTATAGGGAGCCTGGCGTCCTTTTTTCATCTGTGGGTGGGCTATTAATATACATTATTGCACATTCATCTGGCGTGTCCGGTTTGATGACATTTAAGTTAGCCAGTGAAATGTCCAACGCCAAACCCCTGCTGTGCGCTTCCACATCAGGAGACTCGCTCCAAGCAGCATTATCAATATACATTCCCTTCCGCCGCTTCGACTTGTCAATGCGTTTGCGCTCGTCTGTACTGTGTCGAGTAGTAATGGCTTCTAAAGATGCTCGTTTCTCCTTACCTAGACATCGGTCATCGTCATTGCTATATCTCTTGCTGAGTTCAGCCGTATCTATTGACGCTTGACGCCTCTCCACAAGGTCACAGAACTCTTCATCAAAGGTATCTTTCCGCCTCAAAATGCATTTATCGTCTGCTTCTTCTGAAGAACGACTAACTGAAATTGTTGGAAGATTTTCCACGCGGTACTCCTGCGCCGTTTTCGATACATGCTTTACATTTACGCAGTCACTAAGCGATAATAGCGGCTCTATTGCTTCCGGTATTATGCCAAACTCTTCAGGCTGAACCTCCACCCATTCCTGCGGAGGATTCTCCAAACGCCACTCCTGGGCAGCACACTCGTAAACTGGCACCGGAATCAGGCAAGTGGTTGCTGTCTGTAAAAAATTATCAGGAGGCGATTCAAGTGGCATTCGTTCTTCCATTAACATTGCCACATTCGGTTCCATTAGCTCTGCGTTAATAGGCTCCTGAATAGTTGGCTGTTCAATGACTTTTGCCTGTTCAACTAAACCCTCTTCCGACTCCACAACAGCTGACACTGGCTGAATAGCCAGAGCTACTTCCTCCGCCTCAATCGTAAAGTCGTTTTCGGAATGAATCGTGTCTGTTAACGACTCCATTTTAGCGTGTGCTATTACAAGATTAGTTTTTAAAACCGCCTCTTTACTGTCTTCGGTAGCACTAGAGGAATGTTCTGCATCAGTGTTGAATATATCTTCTTCGGGTATAATATCGGGCGATTCGATTACATTCTCTAGATTACTCATATCTTGACCGTAATTTAAGTTAATACTCATTTCAGTTTTCTTTTTCAACGGTATGTAAATCCAATCTGGCTCAGAATTCACTTTCACTTCAGTTGCAACGGCAGACGTCAATGCGCCACTTGCTTCTTCGATTCTGCCTTTTTTCGTATTCGTTGCGGAATCAACTGATCCAACCACTTTTTCACGCCATAAACGATCACGCAATGCGCTCCACGAACACTTTTTGTACTTTCCAGACGAAATATCAATTTGAGAAAACGAAGCTGAACGAAATGGAATGCCCTTCTGGGTGTATGAGCCGATTACCGTGCGAGATTCTGGTCTGCCCAGCTTGGTAGCTATATCCGAACTGTTGGCCAGCTGTGCACTTTCGGCATTTACAGAGCCACTTGCGACAACATTTGCAGCGGGTCGCTGTGGCGGGGACTTTGATTGCTCTCTGCCCATCAACATCAGCGATTCGAAATTCGACAGACTGGCATTTGGTTTGAGTGTATCGGATAGTTTGGCTGTTGATGTCAGCGATTTAGTTGTTGCTACCGCCTGCGCTGCTGCTGCTCTTGCTTCTGTTCCTGAAACTTCTGCTTTCGACGGCAGATCGCTTCTGCTAAAATCGTTTTTTGCATCTATCTTAACAGAGTTTTTCGTACTTGTACCAGCAGAAGGATAGTCAGCAGCTTGCTCATCTTGGTCCATCAGCATGATGCCATCAGACCGGGCCGACATGAATGACAACGGAGTATTGTCCAATGAGGAAGTGGTAGCAGAAAGAGTCCTCACCGCAGGAGCGTGCGCCTGTGTTTCAGAACGTTCCAAGCTATTAGACGCCGAGTGAGATCCATGACGTGGCTTCCGTGGCGGCGGTATAGGTGGCGGAGTTGGCGAAGATCTATTGCCGCGCAGCAGTTCTGTTAGTTCCCTCAATCGCTCTGATTTCTCAGTGGATTTACGATTTCGTGAGGAGCCACCGCTTTCCGTGGACGCCCCACTCGGCGTTGGTGTACTCTTTCGACCGAAGCCTAAACGTTGAAAACGATCCAAGGTATTCCGACGTTTCTCCATATTAACCTACAAGGAGAAATAAACACAAATGTGTTATTACACCAAATTGCTAAATCATCATAAATATTCTTCAAATATCCCTCTACACCTTACTTTTATAAACAAACGATTTTCCATTGCTTCTGTTTGGCACACGTCTACCCATAGATTCATTCTATGCACTACTTAATGGAAGTTCTCGACAATGTGAAAAAATAACAAACGCGAAAAATATCGCAATATATATGTATGTACATATATATATTAATTTACACAAAGGCGAACGACCCAGAAGATAATTTAGGTAGGCTTTCTTAAGTAAAACTATTCTAAGAGGCCTACCCAAGAAGGGCTGAAAAAAGTGCTTCCTTGCATGCGTTCTAGAATGGCTTATCCATTTACAATTTAAACGAATGCATAAATTTATATTATTTAGAATTACAAATGAATTTCAATTAACATTTTAATTTGCAATAATATATATTTGTTATAAACCGTAAGCAAACAAGATGTATGATGTTTATAAATTAAGAAGAACGAAGGAGCCCTTCAATTTGTGCAACCCCATACAAAAAAGAAAGGAGAAAGGAATGTAGAGTGGATGGCCTTTTGACTCCCAGGCAGGCCTTTCGGAAGGGCTTTTAACTCCTGAAATTATCTACTGTGAATTATCTACATACAACTATTGCTACAAAACTATCGATGGTGGTTTCATCGTTACTTTTAATTTATTTGAGAAAAGACTTTCGATAGTAAAGCCAAAAAGGAACAAAGGCGATAAGTTCATGATTTTCAGGTTTTGCTGTATGCGTGTGTTCGTTTTTAATTCTGGACTTTGGAACGCCCAATAAATGAACAAAACATAACCGGGTTGTCTCCAAACCAAATTTGACAAGGGATGATGTAAACTCATTCCAAACTACATCATACACCAACGATGTCGGAAACAACCAAAAGGGCAATATCCACATTAGAGATGACTAAATTCGATATTCGTAGTTTCCAGAATCGAATTTTAATCGAATTTTAGCTCCACTTTGTTTTTCTAAAATTCGGATACAATCGAATTTGCCTAAAAGAAATCGAATTTCGTCTTTACTTTCAAAAACTCTGCAACTTTCTTCTTTCTGACTAAACCTGACATCAATATGTGTTGGCATTTGCCAAAAAAATGTGGCTCGATAGAACTCTTCACGCCTTGTTTACTTAAATATCTCGTTTTAAATAGCAAAATCATAAGTTGTCATTAAATGTAAGAAAAATGACACTGAAGATGGCACAACGCTGACAACGGTAACGGTTTGTCACCAAACCAAATTTGACAAGGGATGACGGAAAAACGTTCCACATTACATCACAGTCCTACCCTGTCGAAAACACCAGCAGCGAAAATGATACTTTTTTACTCGTTGTAAAAGTATAAACATACATACGTATAAATGTATAAGTACGTAACGTGAAATACGTACAAATTTCTTTTTTTCTTGTAAAGAAAGAAAAATAAATAAAAGTACATTAGACGTCTAAAAAAATTAGTTTCAATATACATTTTGTTAATTTTTTAAGTGGTACTTAAAGCAATTCAATTTCAACCCCCCCTAGCCATCCCTAAACCACACCTGTTAATTTAAAAATTATGATATGCTTCATTAGGGAGAAATGAACGAAGATATTTTATTTTATTTTTTATACGTTATCACGCATTTTCTTCCATACAAAGGAATTTTTTATATGGAAGAAAGTGGGTGACACTGCCAGCTAAAAAAATTCAAAAAATAAAAAATAAATCAACAAGATTCTTTAGCAACTTCAATATGTATGTGCATTAGGGTGGTCCAAAAAAGTCAAGCCGTCAGTCACATAACCGTTATTTGTAACAGCAAAAACGAATCGATATAGACAAAGAAAAATGTATACATAAATGACCAGAACTAAACAAGAAATCGATTAAGCGGTGACTGTGTGTCCGTTCATCTGTGAGGTATCCTAACGAGACTCGTATGTGTACTTATTTTCAGCGTAGGACGGATGGTATTGAAAATGGGCAAAATCGGACAATAACCACGCCTAGCGCCCATATAACGGTAGTTTTCAGAAATACGAAAACTGCGATATTTCAGTAACTACTGAAGCTTATTCACTCAAAATTGATACTAACAAAGATCTCTTGGGAAAATATAACAATATTATAAATTGTTGGAAATTGGGCGTTGCCACGCCCACTTATGGTTACATGTGTATATCTTGGTAACCCCTCCACCAATTTTTCCCAAATTTAGCACAGCTGTTGGCCTTGGTATAACATACCAAACGGCTGAAAATTTTTAGAATCGGGCAATAACCACGCTCACATTCCATATAACGGTAATTTTAGAGAAATATGAAACCTTCGTTAAATCTAAATACTGAAGCTAATTTATTCTGAATTGATGCTTGCCATAAATCTTTAGCAAAAAATGCGTTTATGATTAAATTTTGGAAAATGGGCGTGGCACCGCCCACTTATGACCTCATGTGTGTATCTCGGTAACCGTTCGACCAATTTGTGCCAAACTCGGTATGATTATTGTGCTTTCCACGTTGAAAATTACTGAAATCGGACTAAAATTACGACCACTTTTCATATAACGGTAAATTTAAAAAAAATCATCGATACTATTATTTTAAGACGTATATAATATACGTATTTTCATAATAACTATCAGCGATATAAATATTATTAAGTCTTCAAAGAATTTTATTTTGAGGCTTATGTTATAAGAGTCTTGTCATAATAATTATCACCGAGATAAACATTTTTGAAGACTTTTATTTTGAGACTTTTATTATAAAAGTCTTTTGATAATAATTATAAGTACGACAAAATTTTGTATATAGTCCCGAACGGGTCCCAAACCAAGCCCCAAATGGGCCCACACTGCTCCCCAACTAGCCCCGAACTGGTTCCCAACTAAAAATACCATTGTAATATAAGTCTTAAAATAAAAGTTTTTGAAAACTTAAAAATATTTATCTCAATGATAATTATTATGAAAAAGCTTTTATAATATAAGTCTTAAAAAAGTCTTTGAATACTAAAAAATATTTATCTCTCTGATAATTATTATGAAAGGACTTTTATAATAAATGTCCTTGAATAATAATTATAGATGACTCGAAAAATATTTATCTTAATATAATGATTATCGATTGACTTTTATTCTTTTTATACCCGAGCGCACTTGTGCACAAGGGTATATTAATTTTGTTCACATAACGGTTGTTTGTAACAGCCAAAACGAATCGAGATAGATATAGACAAATGTATACATAAATGATCAGGATGAAAAAAGAAATCGATTAAGCCATGTCTGTCAGTCCGTCTGTCCGTCTGTCCGTCCGACCGTGTACACGATAACTCCAGCAACAATTGAGATATCTCAACGAAATTTGGTATGTAGATTTCCCATAATCCAAGGTAGGTTCGTATTGAAAATGGGCGAAATCGGACTGTAACCACGCCTACTTCCCATATAACGGTAATTTCCAGAAATACGAAAACTGCGATATTTTAGTAACTACTGAAGATAATTCACTCAAAATTGATATTTACAATAATTTTCAGACGAAAAATAAGAATATTATAAATTTTTGGAAAATGGGCGTAGCCACGCCCACTTACGGTTACATGTGTATATATCTTGGTAACCGCTGCACCAATTTCTTCCAAACTTGGCACAGTTGTTGGCCTTGGTAAAGCATAAGAAACCGCCGAAACTTTTTAAAATCGGACAATAACCACGCCCACATCCCATATAACGGTAATTTAGAGAAATACAAAGTCTTCGATAAATCATTAAATATTGAAGCTAATTTATTCAAGCTTGATGCTTGCAACAATTCTTTACCAAGAAATACGTTTATGGTAAAATTTTGGAAAATGGGCGTGGCACCGCCCACTTATGATCACATATAAGTATATCGGTAACCGTTCTACCAATTTGTACCAAACTCGGTATGGTTATTGTACTTGCCACGTGTAAGCAAAACGTTGAAAATTATTGAAATCGGACTAAAATAACGGCCGATTCTCATATAACGGTAAATTTAAGAAATGCTTGAAACTTCAATATTTCGAAATTGAAGGACGCTAATTTACTCAAAATTGATACACCTCGGCTTACCATCTAGCGGAAGGGTGAAAAAACATATATTTAATACTTGCGCCGGGAATTTAATGTTCGGCTCCGCCCGAACTTAGACTTTCTTACTTGTTTCTATTATAATAGTTATGTCTCTGCTATTGTACCTTTAAAAAAGTGATTATAGCCAGGAAAAAGCCCTTATTCCTTATAAAAGTTTCAAACGTTCCATATATAAATTGGGCGCCATTTGTGTATGGCTCTGTTAAAGCCTTTTCTGTTACAATAAAATCAAGTTGATAATAAAGAAAATCGATGGATAAATAAAGAAAAAATAAGTGGTCATATGAAAATGCGCATAGATTTTTCATATGAAAAATTAGCAGGAAAGGATGTTACTCATACGCCATGTACACATGAAAATATCTCGATAACTTATCCATAGAATAAAATAAAAAAGGCGTGAGTACTAGGTACTCATGAAATTTGATGTGTATACATATGCGAACGGCAAAGCATAAAAGTACGTTTACATATAAATGTAATCTCAATCACAGCTCGGTAGCTGTCAAATTGGTTGTGCTTGTTATTCACATAACTCGAGGAAAAGTTAAACTTCTTCTCTGTGCCACCGTGGTCACTTATTAGGCCATTTAAATGTACTAGTGTTCGCCCAGCGGTTGAAATTCAACCGCTAAAATTAAGGATAGTTTATGTGAGTTGAGTTGAGCTGAAATAAAATTTGTTGGAATGGGTTAAGTGGAGGGGAGTTTAGCTTAGTACTTAGCATAACGTAACATAGAATAGCATTAGATTCAATAACATAACGTGTGTAGCATAACACATCACAATATAACATCGCACATTCTTCAGTTGTATTTCCTTTTTATTTCTCTCTATCTTTGT